CCCCAAAACCCCAAAACCCCAAAACCCCTTGAGATGATAAATTTCCTTGTCTAAAAGACACTGAATTAAAAGTTAATTAATTATAAATTTTAAAATTATGAATAATTTCGAAGATTAAAACTAAAGAGGTGAGTAACAGAATTAGGGTGACATCAGATCATCACTCTAAAACTTCTTTAGAACTTAATATGATAAGGAGTCTTTTAAAAGAGAGTGGAAACAAAAATCTAGGGAACTCTGGGAGATTATGCCTCTATTTCTTTAGTACTAATTAACTAATAATATCAACTTTAGAATATTGTTGACATCAAAGCTAATGCTCTATGTCCTATCATTCATTACAAGCAGTGTTAACGAATTCTTAGTTAATAACCCATCAAAAGTCCTATCATATTTCTAAAGTATCAATAAAGCTCATATCAATATAATATCTTTAGTATGGAGATTAATCACATCACCTTTTGCTTGCGGCTCATTATTTGAGGTAATATAATATCATAAGCTTACATAATCTAATAATAATCCTTATTTATATAGCTTTTCATTATAACTCCTATATACCTGATCAAATATTTATATCCCACTGAGTTTAAAAGAGGAACTCTCTTTATTTTGATCAAATTTGGAATAAACAGTAATTAATCAATATGTTGACTAATATTGATATCATAGTTTGCTGCTATAATTTCATTTCTTGTGCATTATCTTTACCTTTCATTTTGTTAAGTAGCAGTTTCTCCTCTTATGAATAATCTGGATTATTCCCGCTCATTCTAATTGATATATCAGTCAGGATGTTTGAAAATATAAATGGCAAAACTAAGTAAGTTGAAACATTAATCTAATATTTTGACGATACTATTCATTGTCCTAATTCATTAAATGTATAGCCTTTACTTTGGAATGTTGGAAAATTAATACACAATTCCATTAATGTATATAGGTGCGCTTTTCTTTATGGATGAAAAATTGATAAGTATTTTATCGATTGCAGTTGTGAGCTATATGATAGCTAAAGGTCTCTATCTTACTCATCTACTCATTCCAAATGATAGACTTAAAGTAATAGAGCAGAAAGTTGATCCAGCTTTTTCAAAATTCCCTAGTAAACATTCTCAGCCTTGAAATATTTATAGATTTCATAAGTGTTACATAAGCAGAGATAAATGTTGCTTAAAACACAGATGATTTAGCCTCATTTGATAGAAGACAACTAAGAGGAAGAGTGTCTCAACCGGGTAATGGATATGACTCTTATAATAGCACCTAAGCTAGCAGTAGTTTCAATTCTATTGGAGGAGGTATTATGCTTGGAGGTTTAAGAGAAAGGGATGATTCTGTCCTTAGGAGTCAAGATACATCATTAGCCCTAATAATGTCAACTGAGAGAAGTAGTAATGAAAGTGAAAATGATTAAAACGAGGAAAGAAAATTAAACTCAGAGTCTGATGAGTATGCTGTGTGAGCAAAATTTAAGATTATGAAACATATCATGTTGTATTTTAATTATACTTCTAATGAAATCCTGTTGTTTTTATTAGAGATTCCCCTCGGGGTTTTGGGGTTTTGGGGTTTTGGGGTTTTGGG